ATATAATGTACACTTTTCACGTCCTACAACATAACATTTTCTTCTTAAAACATATGGACAATTTTAAGCAAAATACCATTTAATCAGTATGTATCTCAAAATCGAATTAATAAATCAATTCTTGTGTCTTTGATAATGCCCACTACTTACTCTGAATACTCCAGATTTCATCTTGCACATCAACTAATGTTTTATTTTCATCACCTTTATTCAGCTTTTCCCTTCTTAATAAGTGTGAAGAAATAGAAAACAGCTTCATTAGCCAAATCAACTTAAGTTATATTGTTAATCATAAATACATTTATAAATTATTTTATTGCATTTTAATTATAATGTAACAAATTACCTTAATTTTGTATTTTGCCTAATGATTCTGCTTTGTAAGGCTTAACAATATTTCACAAGTACAACTATGGCACTTTAATACTACATTGTCCCCTGTTCTTGTAAACACTCAAAGGCCAAGTAATTTACAAGTTATTCAAACAAACAATTACACAATCACTATTAGAGTATCTGGTCACATATGATAAGTTGGTAACATATGTTTTTCAAGTTCATTCTTTCAAGTACAAAGTATTTTATTTACTTAAAACAAGAATATATATCTTTAGGATACTAAATAATTGTTTATAATCAGCATATTCCATAACCAGGGCACAACCTATATGGTAATTTAGACAATAATTTGTTGCATCTGAAGTTGAATATACTTCATGTATAGGAACATCTACACAATAACTAATACTTTCTTTTCCACTGGGGTATTTTTCTTTCAATACATTTCCTTCTCCTTTGAGTAAATAACCTTCAAAAAGTTATTGCATCTCTACCTTTGTACCCATTTGTATGCAACCCATTAATAGCTAGTGATATCTGACCACTGAATATGTTGTCTGAAATTTTTGTATTTCTTTTGCTTGAAAAAAACAGTTTTATTTATAATCCATGCAACAATGATATCTCATTGGTCCATACTGCAACATCTGATGAGGGAAGTATATCACGTAATGCATTTTTAAAATAAAGGATTTCCTGCGGGAGGGGCATTGCTAAGCACAAGGCCAGTTTCTCCAGATGTATTTCACAGTGCTCTGAATCTATTATCTTACATAAACTATAACATATTACATTGCAATTATGTTTTAATCATTTTGAGTAGTTGCTAGTTCTTGAGCCCCAAGCCTAGAATGTTTTGGGTAGCTAGCAATGCCCCTAACCCACAGTATAGTTTTTGAATTCCTTCAAGTACAGACATATAAATTAATTATTCAGAAATTTGCTTTTGAACAATATGAGGTTGTTCAAAGTAAAATTCACACAAGCTGAAAAAGTTAACAATGTGGATTATTTTCAGGAATTACAGCCCCAGCTGACACAAATAAAGTATGTATCAGCATCAATGTGGCTGCAGATGTCAGCTTTATTGTTCTGTATTATATATATTTTTTTAGTTTCCCTGGTTTGCTGGTAGAATGAAGGTAGATGTAAGGAAATGATGAAAGACTGGTACTGAACTACTCTAAAGATAACAATTTCTATTGAAATATACAATACTGTAGGAAAATAGTAATTTATTGAGGAACAACAGCAGAAAAACATGCACCAGACCTTCAACTAAACCATCACATAAAGGTAAAGCTTTTACTTTCACCAAACTCCTGCAATTGGTAATGCTGCACATTGTGATTCATTAAATTTGTGTTTCCTTAGATAATGAAGAGAGAATTTCACAACAACATGTGAGTGTGTTATTACTCCATGTAAATTCTTAACCTAGGAAGTAAAGTAAAACACTGCTTCGCCTTTCTATACAAGTAAGGCAAAAGTAAGAACAAAAGCCACACATCCCTTTAAACCCACCAAGCCAATGAGCAGCTAAGGTGTTTGTTGGTACAATAACAAGTGCACTAGGGTGGTCATTATTTGCAGGTAAAATATTAGGTTGCAAATTCTAAAGCTCTCATTCCCTAATTTTGTTCCAATTTAAGAAAAAACATTAAGTGTCAAATTTCATCCATTTTAGACTATATTTAGTGGTTACTCAGTGAGATTGAAGTTCTAGACTGCAGTGGTTTGGTATTGTATGAACTATGTGATATAGAAACATATTTATTATATATTATAAATGATTTATTTCATATATATTTTTATTTCATTGCCTGTATAATAGTATAATTATATGATTTTGGTGTGGTTCATCACTTTTGCATTGTTATTGTTTCATTTTTGATCATGTACAGCTTGAAGGAAGAATTGTTTCTGTTCTTTCTTTGTTATGATGATATTATACTCTTCAGTAAGGGCCACAAACCTTTCAGTATTTTCATTTACGTTCAAGCTTTGAATTGTCTGTAGCACCTCCCTGAATTCTCAAGACTCAGAATTATAATCCAGATGGAATTTTGAGTCACCGGAAGAAGTCTGTTATGTTCTTTGTGATGACATCTTCAATTGACATGTCTTCAGACTTCCTGATATTCAGCTGGATGCACTTTGGAGGTTCGTCCATATGCCTTCCTTCTCATTTAATGCCTTTACCATTGCTCCTTCTGTCTGTGTGGTTACAGCAGAGTCAAAGAATGCCAAATCAACCAGTTCCTCATTGAGATACAATGGATGTCCAGCAAATTTTTGACAGGCAGATTCTGAAAGAGCAGAATTCTTATATTTAACAAAATATTGTAGGAAGTTAAAATCAATGCAAGGAGCAGAAATGGCATTAGGGGTGGTGAACCATGCCCTAAGATAGACTCAAGCAACAAAGATACAAATGTCATGAAGTCCTCTTTCCTCATGGTCAGTGAGCTTAAACTGTCCATAAGCATCCAGATCTTTAGGACATATAATGCCTTGACCATCCCATGTGTATTATGCAGTGTTCCAGGTGATGTAAATCATATTCCTGGAGGAGTGATGCCACCAAGAAAGGTTATGGCTAGTTCAAGAAGCTCTTAATAATTGTGTCTAGGTTGGCTGATCTGAAATTGTCTAGTAGTAAACTCAGTAACACTGGCATTAATTTCGTCAGTGGCTTCTGCAACTTCAGCTACAGTTTCACAACTGGACTGATCCAATTATTCCCAATATTGCTAAAATCGATTGAAATATCTGATCGGGAAGAAAGCCCCATACAGTCTTTGAAAACACATGCCAGAAAACGTTGTAAGATATGATTCTGACATGCCAAATACAGAAGATTCTTGTTTAATCTCTGTTCTAACAGCACACATGCTCCATTTCTATGAACAATGTTGCTTACTGTTGTGTCAAAGCAAACTGCCTTTACACGAT